CAAAACAATTACGTATGATGTTGTGATTTTCTTCACATATAAATATTTTGATACTCCATAAAAGAGTTTTTTTTGGAAATATATGAGATTTAAACATGAACCATTATCGATCGAGTGTGGTGTGTAACATATTTGATTTAAAATATCTCAAATAAACTGGAAAAAAATCCCGGATCCTCTATTGGGGATGCCCATTCCTCATTCGGGATGAGAATGTGATTATATTCCCATCAGGGACGGATACGGGGATGGGAACGGAGAGTGGATCGGAGATTGGGATCCTCATCTCATCCCATGCCTATATACTGCTCACATGAGTGTTATATCTTTTGAGGATATCATAATTTAGTGGGAGTTTGTATTTTAAGTAATATATGTATTGTAATTATGTTATGTTTTTGTATAGAACAAAGTATTCGTTGTTCGAATTTTTATCCTGCTAAGAAGTGAGGAGGAACCAATTGAAAATGAACTTGTTTCAACATGCAATATACATGCACAAAAAATATGTCATTTCAATTTATTGGTATATGTGATGATTTTCGTGAGAACATGAGAAATTGTAAAGATATTATTATATCATGCTAACGCTTGTTGTGAGAATTGCAAAGATACATTTATATCGTATGAATGTTATATATTCACATAATATAACGTAACATGCCCATACACACTTGAAGATTATGTTACAAGAGCAATTTATTTACTTTTTTGAGAGCACATAAAAATACAACCTAATCACAAGGAACGTCGTTATTATTTTTCAGCCATGATTTTAAGCTAATTCTTAAATTAGTCATTTTTTACTCAAATATTTGAGTAAACCATATTTTTCTAATAAAAAGGATAGAAAAAATGGGCATTTACAAAGCTTTATTAAATTAATTTTTTGATAAAATCACCCTCTCAAATTACTAGAAATCAACAATTTATAATTTATAATTTTATTGAATTAAATAGAAGGTTATAATGATTCCAACATTCTAGTGTTTTTATTGGCTCAGTTTTTTTATTATAATTTCTTTGATTACAATTTTATATGTTAATCTTATATTGTTAAGACGTACATTTTGGATGTGAGAACAATTCACACGTTTGTTTTAAGACGTATAATTCAGGTGTAAAAACCATACAAATTACATATCTTAAAACCATATACTATGACTATAGAGTAAACTACATTCTTGGCTCCTGCGTTATGCTCCAATTTTGAATATGGTTTCTAAAATGCATTAAGTACATCAGTGGTTCTTAATTTGTGTGTTTTTATAACATATTGAATTTGTACCTTAACATTAATCTACTCATGAGTCGTGAATATGTTCTCGGATGAAGATGAACATGAACAAGGGCAAAATCTAGTTTTCTCTTTGCAATTTAGATTCATGTAATACAAGAACCTAAATTAAAATCTAAATCCAATTAAAAACTGTAACAACCAACCAAAAAGGAGATATATACACATATACCATTTAACAAATAAGCCAAAGTCCCAACCTAACACTATACAGCAACACCTCTTAATCCTATAACAACCTACTAAAGATATGCTTACAAAAAGAACAAGGGAAGAAACATAAGTTGAGAGTTAAGCGCAAGTGCGCGCTCTCTCTCTCTCTCTCTCTCTCTTTCTCTCTTACCCTTCCCTTTTGGTTTTGAAACTCAACAAGCATACCCTTTCTCTTTTGGCTTGCCCTCTATATGATTATGCCCTGAAATGCATATTACAACAAAATCAAGGTTAGATCAAATGGTCTAGTGAATTTCTCTTGACAAGGTAGGAATCCAACAATCTCAATTTGATAAAAGATAATTATATTAATTAAAGACGATGTAGGCTCGCAAGACTACAACCTCACCAAGTAAGTAGTCACAACAGTCGCATAAGTAATAATCGAAAGCACTCTGACTTGATCACAATCAATATTAGCAGTGGAACCACATGAAAACAAATTCATGGGTTGAGTTGTTAACTTTCTTGTGTGACCCATCACTTCCGCACACATATCACTCATGTTGTATAAGTTACATTACTCCTTAATACCAAAATCAAGACTTCACTTGATTTAAATCAAATAAAAAAAACCAAAAGACCGTTGGAGGGTCTGGTTCACCCTGTTTTGCCCAGATTAAACCTTAGACGATACCTCCAAAAGACCCATAAATGCCACGAAACAAAAATCAAAAATCTCAAAATAGAGACTTATGCAACCTGGCCTACGATTCAAGTCGCTGGACTCACTGGAGGGTCTGGTTCACCCTGTTTTGCCCAAATTCACCATTTTGACAAAAACTAAGATTAAGACTATCATTTTACTATTGAATAACAAACCTTCAACATACTTTTAACCAAAGGAACATCTAGATCTAACTCTAGCATCCTTAATTCTACACGGTTAGAAAAAGTCAATAGGTAATTCTCATCAACGCTAGAAAATTTGTACCCCAAGTCATAGTATGAAAAGTACATCTTAAATTCATCACTTCAAAACTAAAAAGTAACTTAAAATTGACCATAGTAGAGTTTCTTGCCATCAAAGAACTTTGAACAAACCCATATACCAAAATAACACAAAACCTAAATTCTCTACCCAAAACTTTAGAGTAAACCCTAGATTGGAAGAAATAAAAAGGAAGATTCAAACATTCATAAAGATTTCAAGCTACTAATCTACAAGAATATTTCTAATTCTTCCTTCACCAACCGATTTCTCCAAAATTTCACTACTCTAAACACACACCCAAGTGCAGCTCTTGTTCTAGACAAATGAAGAGAAAGGAGAGTCTTTCTCAAGAAAACTCTACTAAACCTTAAAAAATGACTAATTTACCAAAATCACCAGTGAACTTACACTTTTATCAAAACTAAATAACTTCAATTATTACAAAAACCCTGAATCAAATATCTGGAAAAAAATTGAAACCCTAAACAACTTTATATATATCCATTAATGAGAACTTTAAATATGAGTCTTTGCAAATCAATTAAAAACCTTAAACAAATCAAAACTCCAGATAGATGTTATACAAATCCTTCAAACATTCACCAAGTATTTCGATGGCTTCATCTTCATCCCCTTTGTGAGTCTGGCATTTGTTTGCCAACTATCTGTTATTGTCTTATTGAGGTCGTCGCAAGGCTCATGGTGTTTGGATCTGATCTATGCAAGATTTGGATAGTGGACAGATAGAGGACACACAAAAACCCATGTTTTGCTTCCATCGAAGTCTTCGTTTGAGGCTCTTCCACAACAGCCAACGCCACCAATTAGTCCATCAACACCCTTCATCGTCACTGTGAGGGTGGGAGCAATGGTTTTACTGAGATGGTAGGGGTTTATATATAATATAGAATAGAGTAAACTCTAATTTTGATCCCTTTAGTTTAGTGGAAAGTCTAAAAGTGGGACCTGAACTTTTCTAAGTCAAGAAAGTGGTCACTGGTCACTAAGTCTGTTTATTTTCTCTGTTAGAGAGAGGGGGGTTTTGTCTTTTTATCAAAATCTTTATTTTCTTTTAAGAAATAGGGGAGGGTTTCATAAACCCACTCTCATCTTCGTCTGTATTGTTGGATCTCCAAACCACAAACCACATACATCTATTTAGGGTTTAAGGGTAGATGAGATGAGTGTCTTGATGAAAAAGAGGTAAGGGAACTCAAGGAAGTATTTGTGGGGTTTCACCGGGTAAAGTACTAATGTCGGAGAATGGATGCTAGCGATGGATGGGGCATCGATGTTTATAAAATATTATAATAATAAAACACAAAATATAAATAGATATTATTTTATGTTATATTTAGAAGGAAATTAAAGATTTCAATGAAAAGACAAAACTCTGCTATCTCTAACAGAGAAAATACACAAAATTAGCGACTAGAGACCAATTTCAAAACAAAATGAGAACCACAAGGATGCTTTCTAGACTTTTCAAAGTTCATGTCCTACTTTTAAACTTTTTACTAAACCATAGGAACCAAAATTAGAGTTTACTCCATAAAATATTAAAGTATAAATTACGATTTTTGTCCCTATGGTTTGTTAATAATTTTGAATTTCATCTTTCTGGTTTAAAAATTGCAATTTTCATCACTATGTTTGCAATTTGTTGCTATTTTCATCCATGGACTAATTCCTATATTTTAAGTACAAGGGACCAAAACAATAAAGAATTGTAAACTATAGCGACCAAAACAACAATAATTTATAAATGATAAGAATGAAAAACAAAAATGAGTTACAAATCATAAGAACGAAAACCATAACTTTTAAACCACTGGGAAAATATTGCAATTTTTAACAAACCATGGTGACAAAAAACATTATTCACTCGATGTTAAATTTTCATTAATTTTTAAAAGAAAATAAGAAAGAGTTTAAATAGACAGATTTGCCCCTCACATGAGGGTCACATAACTTGGTACTTACTAGAGTTGATTATTTACAAGATTGGGCCGGACACGAGCCGGTCTTAACCTATTTTTTTATCCAACGGGCCTATATGGTAAAATCAAACCCGTTTCTACGGACTTGAAAACTTACTTATACTCGTCCTATAAATGGGTCAAGCTTGCCTACGGGCTAACGAACTTAAAAATCTCGTTATATTTTCATGAAAACAAAACTTATATAAAATCACAAGTTGTGTAAAATAATTCAAAATACATAACAATTTTTTCAACTTAAAATTTGACGTAAATACATAACAATATACATAATTTCAAAAGAAATTGTTTTACTAAATATGAAATATTGATTAAAAAAATGACTAATTGGACCTGGCATACCTGTCCAAATATTTATTTTTTTCCATTGTCCATGTATTTTAACAAGCCAGTTTAGACAAACTCGTCCATTTCTTGGAAAATGATAACCCCAAGTCCCCAACCCACTTTTCCAATGGGCCAGACAAGATGAATCTAACAGATCATCCCGCCCATGACGAGAGACCAAAACATTATAAAAGAGAAACTAAGGACCAAATGCGTTTCAAGGATCAAAGACCAAGAATTTAGTTCTCTTAATATAAATAAGACCCACAATAAAAAAGAACTTTTAACATACATATATCTTGACTAGTACAATGCCAAAATATGTGTTCCTCAAATGTGAATGAACAATCTTATTTCGTTTAAGATCATAATTTTTATCTTTGAATTTAGTTAAAGAAAAGAAGCATGGAGTACTGTTACAGGTACAGGCCGAGTCTGATCAATCATATAGCGCATCAACGTTACACTCCCCAAGAAAAACTTTGACACTTCGAGGCGAACCACAATCGCCTTCAGCAATAATAGCTCGATCGTTGGCAGCCATGTGCGCAATGATCTTGTAGATCATTTCGATCTGCCAACAATAGAAAATGTCCATTTTGTATGGTAAATGAGATGAAAATATAGAAAATAAATACAAAGAAAAAGAAAAAGCAAAAAGTACATACATCTTCGGGAGCATGGCAGCGATCAGCTACTTCCTCGAGGGATAACGGTTCAACAGGGTCCTTACAACTGGGAAATCAATGAATGGGACCCATAATCACGTATTTATAATTTCTTCTCGTATCATATAAATGAAATGATCGTAACATTAGCAGCATACCTGGCTTCATTAAGAACTGAAAGAACCCGCTTCTGTAGAGCTAACACTTCTCCTGCTGCTTTCTTCCCAGCTTCAACTCCTGATGTAATAATAAATTACAAGTATTCATCATCAGAGTCGCTAAAAAACCCAGCTCTTCAAACTTATCTTTGTCAAATTTACAACAAAACCAGATTACAGTCGGCATTTAAAGTCATCAGCTAAAACATGTACTTAAATGTTTGAAATGTCACCAAAATGAAGCACGTTACCCAAAATAAAAACTAAAACAAAGTACTTTCTTTTTTTTGGAAGGGTATCCCTTGAACTAATCCCGGCAAATTGTGACAGCAATAAATCAGCCCAGATAAACTCAGTGGCCACTAAGTACTTTCTGTTGTCATGCAAGTTACCATTTTATTCAAATCAAGCCAATGGCTTGGTAAGTTGAGTCAACCCGAGAGTAGTAATTTCCTCACGGTATTCAATTTGATAAGATTTCTTCAAAAAACTAAAAAATGGTAACTACACCAAGATAAAAAGGAAAGAATACATACCAGGTTGATGGTAGGCGTTGATGTTCACGAGGGATGCATAAATACCGACTGCTCGTTCATAAAGAGCTATCAGAGCCCCGACTGATCTGGGATTCACTTCTTGCACGGTGACTGTAATGGACTCCCTACCATTTGCATATAGTGCTGATCGTGTTCCCTGCAAAACAAATCAACTTCAAGAAATTTAAAAAAAAGGCTTGATTTGTTTTTATTCCATCTCATGGAAGTTGAAACGTTGGTATGCAGTGATGGACTAGTAGTCAAATGACTTAACTACCCTTCAATAATGACAAAAAGAAGAAATATAGGCGTCCAATATCAACATCGACATTCTTATAAAAAATGAAAATTGGGAAAATATGTAATTCTCCGTTCACACCTAACCGGATCCATGATCACATTTTCATTCTATTGGTCCCATCTAAATAGGGCTACGAAACAATAATGTTAAATGGCTAAGATCAATTGAACCTAAAACTGTTCACTTACCCTCCTCCCAAAAGCAAAACCCCACTTACGGTTTTGGATATTCAAACCAATGTTTCTAGTTTCTTAGGGGCCATTTGGTTGATTTTCCATCAAGTCGTGTATGGATAAAACTAATGGTGTGGATTAATATGTCTACATAGATTGAGAAGGTTTTTGTTTGGAAGGAGCATGTCTTTTAACTGGGAGGGGCAGGTTTGAAAAAAACTTGGCTTTCTACATAAAGCTCCCCCGAGAAGCTACTGTTAATATCATTAAGCCACTACCAAACAGTCATGTATAGTTGATGGAACAAGCTTGTGAGTCCCATTAAGCTGCTAACAGACATGCCCTACAACTAACTCTTTAGTTACTGTAATAATCACTTGTTAATTACAACAAAAAACAGATGTTGTTCGTATTGAAGTTAAAAACCAACTCATTTGAAAAATCTTTTTGGGGAAGGAGATATATATGATTCGGAAAAGAAAACCAATGATCTGATATTTTCAGAGTCGCAAGAATCTCAACTTGTTGCAAACCTTTGATAGGTAAATAAAGAATAAAAAAAGGAGATATGATAGATTTGTATGGTAGGCACCTGTAACATTCCAAACAAGTAATCACCGCAAGTGACCCCTGGTTCAAGCTCCCAATCGTGACCAGGGGGCCTATCACGTAATACCTCAATGAATGTTGCAAAGAAATTGTGCACACCCTCTCGTAGCTGTTGAATGTACCTGTTGCAAAACACAACTTAAATAACTGAACCTACGCTGTCACTCCTCATATACCTGCTTACAAGATTGGAAACCTACGCATGCTGATCTGTGCTCCCTTTGTTTCCATACACGGTAAGCCCTTGATTTACCTATACACGAAATGATTCAAATCAGGCAAATGCAAAAAACAATCCATTATTCCTTCTTAACAAACTTCCTTGCTTGATGAATGCATCTTTACAACATGCAATTAACAAGTGCAGACATTTGCAAAAGACAGCCACAATGACCATGAAAACATTTTTGAAAAATCCAAAACACATTGAATTCTGTAAGCCAAAATCATCCTACAGAATAAGTTCATATTTTCTTATGTGTATATATCATATCAGGTTTTTAATCCATTCAAACAATTTGATTTAATTACTTGTAATATATTAGTTCGTATGAATTTGGAGATTGGTTTGAGGTGCAGTTATGCTTTTCTATCGAAAATATTTGGACTCTAGATATTTTTTCTAACCATAACTTAGGGTTCAGGGTTTAATGATTCTGGATTCGGAAGCATACCCTATTGCCATCAAGGTCAAATTCCTTCCCAAGAGACTCCATCACCAACTGCTGCAGATATCTGCTAAATAACAAAAGGCTGTCCTTGTAGGGAAGTACCACCATATCCTGTTGAAACCAATAAAAATCATTAATTTTTAAAGAAAAAAAAAGTTTAATGTATATCCGAAAACAAAGAAATCGTTTACTACCTTTGATCCTACACCATCAGAAGCCCAGTACCAGCATAATGCCAGCAATGCAGCAGGGTTGTTCTTGACCTAACATTAACAACATTCATCATGTATAGGTTTTACATGGAGTAAAGCATATGCAGGGTGAAAATGGAAATGACGAATACCCAAATTCTTTAATTTCTAGCTCCGTTCAGATATCATTCACAAGTAAAACAGAAATTTAGAAGCCATGCCACCTCTAATAGACGGGCAAATAATCAATCTGGAAAGAACTTATCGTCAACCTCTTCAGATATGAATCCATCTGGCTTAGAAGGGAAGAGCACATACCAAAGTATTTTTATAAGAACAATCTTTGGTTCCTTTGATTATACAGTTCTTTGTTCTCCATTTTGTGGGTCTTATCTTCATTTATTCTCACATCAAGTAAATATGATGCATAATCACGGCTTCATTTCTTCTTATACCATATGGGTGAGACTCACAAAAATGAAAAATGAAAAACGAAATGCACAAGATGAATAGGACATGGAATGGGAAAGATGATGTCCAAAAAACAAATGAACATCAAGAAGGCATAGATGTCTACCACAGTAGTCCTGTTTGCCTCATCCATTAGTGATGCACCAGCAAGCATTTCTTTGATGTCGATTCCCTAAATAAAACATTATGGTATATGAATATTTGGAACATGTAACAGGAAAATGCAGGAAGTAGAAATTCCATTGAACAATCACCACCTGAAGGGCTGCAGCAAGTAGACCGACAGCAGACATTTCAGAAGTTCTTCCACCAACCCAATCAAACATGGGAAATCTAGCTAACCACCCCTCGATCCTTGCAGTGTTGTCTAGTAGTGAATTCTCTTGTGTAATGGCAACACCCTGCATATGTATGCACATAAGCAATTATCTGAATGAAGAAGATGAAGCCAATGGTTACAAATATTTTGACAAAAAAAATCGAAAATTAACTCGTAATTAAATAGACCAATAAAAGCTTCAATGGTTACAAATATTTTGACAAAAAAAATCGAAAATTAACTCGTAATTAAATAGACCAATAAAAGAACACAAAACAGCCTAAAATGTTGAATTGATTTGTTTCACCGGTGACCGCAAGGTTGGTAGGATAATTTTAGACAGTCAAGAATATATAGACATTTACTTAAAGTAGGTTTCAGAAAGCTAGTTTATGGCTTACTAAAACAGGGCTCTTTCAATAGGCTCAAAAAATAAGCTAGCTTATGGTTGCCAAATATGGCCTTTTGTTAAAGTCAAAAACATGTTTTTTTGTAAACCAGAAGACAGTTAAAAAATCTCTAACCCTCATTCACAATAATTTTGTAAACCATTTTAGTTTTCCGTAAACACAAGTGTTTGCCAAACACCGTTCTTTATCAAGTTTACCCTTTTCATAGGAGTATAAAGTAAAGGTGCCGCAGAGGCATCCTTAACATTCTATTGATTTGTATCATTTTCTTTCAGTCTCCATTTTCCATTTTGTGGGTCATATATTCATTTGTCCATACATCAAATGAAGAGAACAATCACATCTTAAATCCTCCTCATACAGACAAATGGGACCCACAAATGAAAAATCTTGACTGACCAAAACCAATAGAGCCTAAAAGAATTTCCAAGTTTAGTCTCGTCTAGCAAGGAATTGGATGTGGTCAAAACAGAAGAGATGGATGCTTTCTGCTATGCTTAACAATCCACACCGGAAGTAATTAGTCTTTGGCAACTGAACTAATTTTAAATGCATGTTTCATGACTCCTCATTTTCTTAAGTCGGAAAAAAATTTTACCAGATTTCAGCTTGTAACTTAGCCAACCATCTACCCTATAAATGTAGGGCCATGCTCCTAGGAGCAAGAAAATATAATAAAAGCAGAAAGAAGAACCTGAGATGAAAACCTGTTTTGCAAATTCCAGCCCGGCTTCACGAAATGCCTTCTGTACTTCCAACAAACCATTTCTGGTTTCTGGGGTGCCTCCACTCTGAGTCAAATTTTGGATTAGACAGTAAGCAGCAGGCTTGAAAGCAAATAAACAAGAGAAAGGAGATAGTTCTTCTATGCAGACCTTTGAAACCACTATTACTAGTGTCGATGCTAATTCTGGGCCAAGTTGAGCAATTTGATGGTCAATTCCTGCTGGATCCGTATTGTCGATGAACCTTATCTAATAAAAAACGCCTCCATGAACATTAGAAATGTATAATTTCAACAACAGAGAGAATATAAATGAAATATGCATATAGAGGAGCACTTTGCAGTTGAGATATAAACAAAGCCAACCCAATGTATTACTAGTTCTACTACGAGGTATTTCGATCAATTACAGTTCAAATTTCTGCACACTTCTTTAAGAACTATAGTTTCCAAGAGGATCTCTCAACTTGAGATATGATTTGAGTGTTGTCATGCCCCCATACAACCATCCATGCTAGAGGTTCAAACCCACTATCTACTTCACCAGTTAGACAATATTCTTTTATGTTAATGTAAATTCGGTCAGGACGAAGATCTTAATTGTCGCTAATTTTAAAAAGACTAGCACATTCACATATCTTTCCAAGTATTACCACATCATGTTTCTTTGGCCTAGATGGATTGCCACATGGATTTAATGTGCCATGTAAGAATACATTCATCCATTGACCGGAAGTCTAATCGGAGACAGAATGAGGAACATTTGTCATATTGGCAAAAAAAGATTCATGCATTTGTCGATTTGGCATATTGCAATCAACCCTGTTTTATCATCATTACTTCAGTGTATAAATATACCATTCGAAATCTGAAGCTGGTTGAAGCAAATAACAAGGAACAACAAATTCATAATATGAACAAGTAGCCAATTCTTATAATGTCAAAAGGAGACTACACAGATTGTTCCCTCACCCCGATTGGCTGGAACTGGATGGCCTAAACTATGTCTGGTTTAGTAGGAGGATGGGATGGCATCGCATTAACCTCCAAGACTTGTTGGGCCAAAGGTGCTGGCTACAACGATCTCTAAAACAAAGAGGCTGTTTCATGTGGAACTGTACAACTGTATTTCCATAGGGCACAACCTCTAGAAGTACAACTTCTGGAAGGCCCTCTAATTGAAGTCAAACTCAAGCTAAAGAGATTTGTCCAAAGCATTAGCATACATGAGTTATGTGTTATCCTAGAAAAAGAATGAAAATGATTTCAAACAATCCTTCAAAATATAGCTTAATTATAATTGCTAAAATTTAATAGCTCGTGAATGTTGATGATAAACGCCAAGAATCATAAATGCATTTACCTTGAGAGGAGGATTATCAGGTGCTAAAGCCTCTGCAACAAACTGTGGTCCAAGAGCAGAACCTCCAATTCCAACAGAGAGGATTTGTGTGAAGCGACCAGCTGGAGAAGAAGGGGGCTTTATCTGAAATCATAAAGTTCAATTTTTTATGAAAATACATAAATGTTAATGTAAATGGTGCACCAAAAGATGCATGTTTAAAGCATACAAAGAGATATATGTTCAACCATGCTTCCATTTCTTACTACTTCAACACTATAAGATGCAACTCTATAACACCAGTATAAGATTCAGTTACCAAATGTCCTTTGGCCCAATGGTATCAGTTTAAAGAAACAGTACATCATTCAATTGGTTGACATACTAAAATGAATCATTCGAATTCAATGGAAAAAGACAATCACCATTGCTAATGATAAATGTCATGTTACATTTAAAATTATTAACAACAATAGCATTAATATCAAAATAGACATATGGCTTTATTTTATGGTTAGTAGACCCATTTTCTGGATGGACAACTGATAAGATTTTCTTCAAGCTTGGGTGCTATGTTCAGCACAAAGTCATAAAAATACATTTTGACTATTGCAGTTAAATAAGTCATTTTTCAACTGATTTAAATGTTGCATTGAAGATCAAAACTCTGTTCTTCATAGTACTATTTGCTACTCTCCATATTCTCTGTTAGTTTGACTTTGAATGTCGAACTTCTATTTTCCAAATTTATAATTATTATATAGTCTTTTAAATCTTGAACATAAACTTTTTCTATATGTGGTACTTGTATTTTTTATATAGTTATAAACTTTGCTTAAAGTTCAAATATCCAAAACAAATTATAATATTGTTTCGCTCGATATCTAAAGACAAAGTATGATAACTTACAAAGAATGGAGGTAGGTAAAATATTAACATGATACCATTGTTTTCTTGTAAATAGATAGAACCCATATTAATTTGTGAATTGTAAAGATTAACTATTTGAATCCTTGATCACTAAGGTCAAAGTGTATATCTAAATTGCCAACAAGTTGAGCAGCATGGATGCACCATTGCCAACAAGTTGAAAATAGCAAAATTGGATTAATTGAACTTCTATAAGAAATTAACAATAAATAAAGCAAGAGGCATGTTCCATCCAGGAATCCATAATGAATTTTTGAGTTCAAAACTTAATCAATTTGGATAAGCATGGGGGAATGCTTCTGCGTAAGGCATAATGACTTTTTTCGACTATGTAAGAACTCAGTTAACATGAAATGATTTCAAATATTTTCATATGCTTCAAACATGGTTCTGTTTCTTACAAGAAACCTAAATGTATGCATACACAAATGGTTTGAGGTCCGATAAAAATGGCTTGTTGGACCATAAAAAGTCAAGAGAAATCTCATCTTACTTTTTATATAGTTTAGAACCACAATTTTCATGTCTTCGATCAAATAAACACATATTAGTTTTTGATGTGCGAACTTTTAGAAGCATCTCTAGTTACAGAACAAATGTAGTATTGATATCAACATAGTTTATGACCACAAAAAGTCAAAGTTCAAGTTGCTACTACGAGAATTACTTGTCAGTCAAATGGAGTACCCTTTTGCTATATTTCAGCAACAATTATAGGGTTTGCTTTATCTAAGTTGAACGATTTGAAATGGTAATTACTCGCAAACAAACTAACCTTACCCCCGACGATTTCCTCGGAGAATGCACAAATAGCTTCAAGTGTATTCTCAATCTGCAACCTCAAGAACGAATTAGGAGACAATTTAGGGTTTCTAAGCCAATAATGSCCSACCATTCTYCCTTCATCTGGATTCGCRATTGCCCCCTTTTCMAGMTCCTCCATCGCYTTRARCGCCTTCAWAAACCTAGGYTCCATTTCCTTYACRAAYTCSTCSGTAAAMCCAACKCGACTCACATCCAAATACARKCCTAAKTCCTTRTGYTGATACAACCACTCTGTGTATCTCTCCCACAGGATTTTCGGGTCTGTTTCTAACCCTTTGTTCGCCACTGATCCAGCCGACAACTCATCACCGGTGGAAGCCGTCTTTGGCAGACTTGACGGAACATCACGTGCCACAGAATGCGTCAACAAACTATGGCTACTGACACCTGAAAAGGAAGTCTTTAAGGTCTCATCAGTCCGAAGTGGAAAAGAGATCATCCATGGGAACTGGGTTTTTGATGATGATGATGGTAAGTGTGGTTTTGGGATCAAACTCGAAGATGATGAACACAACCCAGATATTGACGCCATTGAAGAGCCGACAGAAATCGATGAAACCAAAGGTGTTTTAGAGAGAGAAAGCTTATGCCATGGAAAATAGCTTGGCAAATTGAGGAGGGGAGCTTTTTGGAAGAGTGTATGCTAAATAGTAATCGAATTCTCAACTCTTTCTACTCTCTCTCTCTCCCCCCCGCCCTACCTGTCTTTATAGGATCTATGTTGATTGGTGGAGGGAGATTTATTTAATTGCAAAATGGCCCTTTGAGAATAACGAAAGGACAGATAAGTCCCCAGGGATATTCTTTCTTTATACCCACCACCATACATGACTCATGTGACTTGGAGTAATGACCTTTTAAGGCCATGGATAGTTATCTTACACATTGCCTCGTATTAATATATAGACTTATATATACTTAAAAATGCTCTACTAAACCCTAAGAAAGACCCTTCTATTATAGCCAAAGGTTATGTTTAGGGTTGTTTGATAAAGTTTAGGGTTGTTTTATAAAACAATCTGTCTTTTAATGATTCTAAAATTATTTAAATGACTTTATATTTTTGGTCTTCCTGAATCATTCAGCACCTTAATCTTATTATGCATAATCACTAAACAACTATATCTCATTTTGCATTATATGATAAGAAGTCTCTTAGGTAGTGTTTGGTACACAGACTGGATGGGACAGAACATGACAGGACTAATTGTATGTCTTATGTTTGGTGCGACTAGAACAGGACAAGACAAAAGTGTTAAAATGATCATATTACCCCTAAAAGGACAAGCCTCAAGTTAACAACTCAAACCACATTGCAAGCTATACCATTCATCATCTAATTATACACCAAAAGCAATTGAGTAGACGGTGTGCAAACAGCAGCCAACATCTGTTGTCTAGAAAAATTATATGGAGGCATAATGCTAAATTGAAAAATCTCAATGAACAACACCAAACTCAATAAAACTGAATAACGTAGTACTGCACATATAATTTTAACTACCAATGATCCACAAACACAACCATCTTCGGTAAACTACCGATGGGAAATTAGTTTATAACTTGAATATTTTCTCATTGGGAACTTTTTTATCAAGCACTTGGTGTTCAAATGCTTACGATTAAAAAATACAGGAACCCAATGGGGGTATTCACAAACCAAGATAGGAATACAGGGATGATAAAAGTCAAAGATGAGAGAGATTGAAAGGAAATATGTAGATTTCAGAAAACCCAAGAGAAATCACACCCAAACATAATTAAGAGAATAAAGATCCATCAACATAGAATCATTTTTTCAAAAGCATAGAAATCACATAATAAATCATTGTCTTAAACCTATAAATAGATAAGGGGTTTCATACCTGCGATTAATAGGAGAGATCAGAGCGATAGTAGCAAGGAGTAAAGAGATCAAAGCAACCTCGAAAAAAGACGCTTCTGAATCATATGGGTAGCAGGTGTTAGAAGAACGATTCATAGTTTTTTTCAAATATTGTTTGTGTGCAGAGGAGAAATGGAAAAATTGTACGCAGGCAAAGAAGCGAGATGGAGAAATGGAGAAATTGTACTGATTGTAGAGGAGAGGAGGCGATGGGAGGCCGGTGGAAGAAGACGATGGAGGTGATGGAAGCGTTACTGCACAAATGGGATGAATTAGGTTTTCTATTGGAATGAAATAACAAGGGTAATATAGTCATTTTAAATTCAGTCCCATGTTGTTCCACCTTTTTTGGTGGAACAAAAAATATCAAGATTTGTCTCATGAAAATTAAAAATAGTCCTACCTTGTCCTGTGTTTTTGTCCATAGCTTGCCAAATATGGGACTATTTTTTTTTTGTCATGTCCCGTCTCATGTAGTCTGCATACCAAACGCACCCTTAATCACCCTTAATCATTCTGAGTTCTGACCACTTAATCATCTTGTATCAAACCATTCAGCAACTATATACAGTCCTTTAGTGACTCATCTCAATGAATCGAATAACTCGTCTGAAAGGAATGAGGTTTATATAGGTTACTTGATTTTTGTGATCCCTAGTAAAACACCATTCCTGACAACAAAGAAAACATAAATCGGCAAAATTATAAAGCATTTTGTAAGAAATATTGGAGTTAAATATCGAAATCATCCAAAAAAACATTAAAACTGCTGAGAATTACAAAACATCAAAATATTGAGAGGGTCATTTGGGAGAAAAAAGTTATGACAGGTTACGGAAGCAACCGGAAAGATTATGATAAATACAGAACTTAGGTTTTAAAAAATAATTCAAACATTTTTCCACTGTTGGATGACCTCTTGGGTGCATCCACCTATGGTTAAGTTTTCAGATGAATTGATAAGTTAGTTGCCAGTTGAAAATTTAGTTGTTGTCATATAAGGTAACTGTTAGTTGATAATCTAATTATGTTTAGTAATGAAAAAAACTAGTTGATAAGTTAGATAATAATGTAAATTACTTAAAATGACATATTAAAAACTTACTCAATTTGAATGTATAAGGTGTATAAGTGCAAAAATAGGGTAAAGAAAACCTCTTAAACTTATTGAAAAAGCTATTTGAAATAGCTTTTTAAAAAAAACTAGTTTATGGTTATCAAAATATGGCTTAAATAGCAAGAAATGAAGATGAACAAAAAGACCAACATTTGAGATCAATCCAAGATTGGATCAAGGATCGAGTTTTCAAGAATCCGTTACAAGCCCGATCCGTCAATTACATTTTTGGACTAATTTAAGAATACTAGAAGCGTACTCGCGCAATGCAGCGAGATACATCATGATTTTAATATTTTATTTTATTCTTTATCTCAGTCGATGTTATAATATGGCTTTATGTGATTTTGAGAAAACGATTATGTTTTTATTTTTGAATAAAATATATGTTTGAAGATATCATAAAAATTTGACAAAAATATATCGAT